ACTGCACCTGCTCCCTCCCTCTCTGCTCTGTGTGCTCCCCCCTCTGTCTGTGACTCTGCTCCGGATCCCCTCCTGCTCCACTTCGTATCTTTGTGTTTCTCAGTCACTTCCCTTTTGTTTGCTCCACATCTGTGCCCCTGAGCGCTCCCTTCCCCCTCCCTCCCCGGCTGCTGAAGGCTCACAGAGAGGCTCATACAAGGTGAGTGAGGGCTGAGTGCTTTCTGTCCCCAAACACCGGCTGTGGATGACATGTGGGGCGCCCCGATCCAGTGAACGTGACACTCCGGTGCAGCATCCTCCTCATCCTCTGCATCTGCCAGCATTGCTCCTGATCTAACTCCATGCTGCTGACTTAGGTGAATGGATACTTGTATCACTTTCCTGTAACTGTGTGTCTTGGCAGAGTGCGTGCAACAATGTAACCGTTGCATGTGCCGGTGCCAGGGTGCAGGAAGCCATCACAGCTCGAACTAGTTTTGCTGAAGGTCATTTTTGTTGTCACCATGTAAGGTTGACCTGTGATGATTAAACTGCGATCGTCTGCTTGTACTGTGCATGGAGAGCTGTGTGTTTAGAAGACACGTGGGATGTCGCCCTTGTCACCCAGTACAAGGGGAGCCCCCATGTGACCTCTTAGGTGGCTGACACATTGGCTTCCTGTGTGAGTGCTGTGCATGGATTTTGAGGGGCACCTCTTGCTGGGGTGCATGCTCCTGTGCAGTAAATGCAGCACAGTGGCTTAGTGGTTTGCAATTGTGTCTTGCAGCACTGGGGTCCTGGGCAAACACAATCTGCATGGAGTTTGCATGTGCCGGCTACGCTGGTTCCCTCCAGCCCTCCAAAGACATGATGGTTTGTTACCCGGCTCCTGTCTGAATTGGCCTTGGTATGTGTTTATAAGCTCTTTGAGGACAGGGACCCATGGAGTTTGCATGTTCTCCCTGTGCCGGTTCCCTCCAGCCCTCCAAAGACCTGATGGTAGGTTATTTGGCTCCTGTCTGAATTGGCCTAAGTATGTTGTTGTAGATTGTAAGCTCTTTTGGTGACAGGGACCCATGGAGTTTGCATGTTCTGCTTGTGCCGGTTCCCTCTGGGTACGCCCGTTTCCTCCTGCCCTCCAAAGACCTGATGGTAGGTTATTTGGCTCCTGTCTGAATTGGCCTTCTTACATAATTATAGATTGTAAGCTCTTTGAGGACGGGGAACCATGGAGTTTGCATGTTCTCCCTGTGCCGGTTCCCTCCAAAGACATGACGGTTAGTTGTATGGCTCCTGTCTGAATTGGCCTTAGTATATGATTGTAGATTGTAAGCTCTTTGAGGATGGTGACCCATGGAGTTTGCATGTTCTCCCAGTGCCCGTTTCCTCTGGGTTCGCCCGTTTCCTCCTGCCCTCCAAAGACCCGATGGTAGGTTATTTGGCTCCTGTCTGAATTGACCTTAGTATATGATTGTAGATTGTAAGCTCTTTGATGACGGGGACCCATGAAGTTTGCATGTTCTCCTTGTGCCGGTTCCCTCCGGGTACGCCGGTTCCCTTCAGCCCTCCAAAAACATGATGGTTTGCTGGCCTTAGTATGTGATTGTAGATTGCTAGCTCTCTGAGGGCAGGGATCAATGCGATTGTACAGTATTTAAAGCGCTGGGTAAATCGTCGGCGCTTTATAAACACCGGTAATAAATAATAACTACTATATGCCGGGTGTCGGAAGGGGACATGTGAATGAGGAGGAGGGGGGAAGTCTTTTCTCCCTGCACACAAGGGAGGAGGGGGGGTCTCTTTGTTGGGAGGGGGGTGGGGGAGGG